CCGGCGGTCCCGGACCCTCCCGGGGCCGGCGCTCCGGGGGCCGCGGCCGTCTCGGGCTCAGCCTCAGGGTCTTCGGCTCCGGGGAAAGGTGAGCAGCAGAGTCCCGGGAGCGGGGCCGGCTCGGAGGGGAGCCAGCCGGGGAGCTAGGGGCTGGCAGGCCGGCGCCTCTGCGGGCTTGTTTTGAATTTCCTGGGCCCGCCTCTAGGGCCGTTGCCCGCCCCTTTCGCTGGTGAGCCGGCTGCGCAGTGAAACCCAGCTTGGAACTGTCAGCTGCAGCGCGAGGCTGAGCAGAGCTGCGGGGCGGAGGGATGGAGAGGGCCGGGGCGCGGAGAGGCGGGGAGCTCGGGCTTTCGCTCCCCTTCCTCTTGGACTTCGAAGCCTGGGTAGGTCGGCATCGACGCGAACAGGATCGGCGCAGCCCCACCTTGTCGTAGTAGGAGTACTTCAGTTTCCATACCGTAGTGGACACGGTTCCCCTGCGTGGAGACATGACCTCTGTTTTAGAGATCAGAAAACAGACTTCTTGAGAAAGGCCAGAGAATGGACTTTGGACCACACAGGGAGTGACGGAACGTAGTGTAGCCAGTAGTTCTCAAGATACGGATTAAGTACCACCAGTGTTAAATGTTCCTGAGAACGCAAATTCCCGGGCATCGCTTCAGGCTGAAACTGTCCAGAGGTGAAATCTGGGACTCTGCAATAAGGAGCATTGATATGTAGCAAAATTTGAGAACCCTAACTTTAAAATCTTTTTTTTTTTTTTTTTTAGTGGTACCGGGAATTGAATTCAGGAGCTTGTGCTTGCCAGGCAGGCGCATAAGTTTGGGAATAGGTGTGGGACAGACCTTTTTGTCTCTCCTGCTTTTATTTGTGTAATACCTGTTAAAGTCAGTTTTCCTACGGATGCGTTTTTCCTCTGTTAAATGGGTTATTATGAGACTCATATACAATAAATGTAAAATGCCTGCTTACTGAAAAGTTTATGCCTCTGTCCATCCCTGACACCTGAGGACCCCTTTTCTCCCAGCAACTGTTGTCACAAAGTCTATGCACAATATAAGCTCTCACAGGTGATCAGTAAGTGTTGAATTACCTCCGCTGTGGGCCAGACCTCAATACAAAAAATAAAACAAATGCACCCACATACTTCCTAAGGACAAACATCAGGAATTTATATTCTAGATCACCTAGAGGAAGCCAGGAAGACGCTGACCCCACCTCCCCCAGGAGGAGCCTGTTCTGCATTCATGGCCACTTGCTACCTGACTCACTTCCCTATTTGATCCCAATTTAATCAATTTTATCTGAGCAATTATGCTTGTAATCTTTTTGGTTGATCCTAGTTTTGTCCCACCTCATGTCCACCTTGTGATTTCCCATTTTTCCCCACCTTGGACTGTCTCACCTAGTGGATTTGCTCTAAAAAAATCTCTAGAAAAGGCAGGTTCTTTGGCATCCCACTCGGGACCCCTTCTGTCTCTCTTGAACTGAAGCTTTCTTTCCCCCAGTAAATATATTCTGCTCTTAAAAAAATGTCGAATTAAGTTATCTAGAGTGGGTCCCATGGCCAAATTAATCTATTTTTGAGACCTGATCTTTGCATTATTGCCAGAAGTGAAGTTTGTACACATAACATTATAAATAGAAGTGTGTGAGGGGTGTGGTGGCCCAGGCCTGTAATCCCAGCACTGGGGAGGCCAAGGCAGGAGGATAGCCATGAGTTTGACCCCAGCCTGGACTACATAGTGAGTTCAAGACCAGTCTGAACTACATAGGGAGACGGACAAAAAAATAGAAATGTGCAGAAATGTGATTAAGAAGAGTTTTTTTGGGATACTGAATTCTACGAGTGAACTGTGAGATGAATTATATTGTTGGTTATTTTGCTGTCACCTTGCATCTTTTCAATAACAAAAGGTCATAACTGAGAAAACAGGAGGAAAAGGGGCTATCAAAGCCATTATGTTTCTGTATAATAAATCCCTTTATGCCTCTTTTAAAAAGACCATAATTGTACTACAATTGCAACTGACCAAATTTCCAACAAGCAAACTCTGATTTGGTTATTGGCATTGTTTGGTACAAATAAATACTCACGTTTTCTGCTTTGAAATGGTTTTTATAGGCATCCCTTTACACATACACAAGTGAATTATCTTCTGGAGATAGAAAAAAGCATGGCTCTTCCTACACTTAAAATGCTGACATTTAAACAGGGTGATAGGTGTGTACATGGGAAGATAACACAGGTTGGGGTGTGTTGCAGGAGTGTTACAAAGAGCTTGGGTGGACCAGAGAGAGGACTGTTACTCTAGGGCGTGAGGTTGTAGCGGTCAGTGCCATTTGTACTAAGTCTTGAGGGAAGATGAATGTAATTGCTGGTCATGAGTGCCTGTGCTTGTATGTGTATGTATATGGGTTTGTGGTACTGGGGCGTAAACTCAAGGCCTTCTCCATGCATCTTTTATGTACAGTTTGTCTTTAAAATAAGGTAGGGCCAGAGGTATAGCTCAGCAGCACAGTGCCTGCCTGGCAAGTGCGAGGTACTGAGTTCGAGTCTTGGTACAAAAAAAAAGATTTAAAATAAGGTAGTTCCAGGGGAGCGAGGGGTATAGCTCAGTGGCACAGCCCCTGCCTGGCAAGTGCGAGGTCCTGAGTTTGATTCCTGGTACAAAAAAATAAAGGTAGTTCCAGTAAACATATTGAATCTTGGTATTGATTTGAAATTTTAAGATGTGGACAGGCAGGAGGGGCTTTGGCCTGGGTGACTGCAACAGTGTGAAATCCCACGGAAAGGTTGTGTGATTATGTTGGGGAGGACAAGCTGAGAGGAAAGGGACAAACCCAGGTACAGCTCAGCTCTGGACCTTAGTGCGACAGCCAGCTCACCTGGTGTAGGACAGATTGTTTTCTTAAAAGTTGTCTTTCATTTTTAAAACAGTTGCAAGTGTAGCTGTGGAAGACCAGCCAGATGTCAGTGCCGTGTTGTCTGCCTACAATCAACAAGGAGACCCTACGATGTATGAAGAATACTATAGTGGACTGAAACACTTCATTGAATGCTCCTTGGACTGCCATCGAGCAGAACTATCCCAACTCTTTTACCCTCTGTTTGTACACATGTACTTGGAGCTAGTCTATAATCAACATGAGAATGAAGCAAAATCATTCTTCGAGAAGTATGTGAATTTTAACATATTTTATTTATACATGCACAGTGCACACATTTGTAACCATACCAGTGTAAGATTGCAGTTCAGAAAATCTGTCATGAAGGACAGCTCCCTAGGGCTGTGTTAGCCTAAGGGGGAGTTTGATCTAGTCAGAGAAGCCAGGGAAGGCTCCCAGAGGAAGCCAGGCCTGAGGTGAGGTCTGAAGATGGGGCAGGAACTGGCCAGCCAAAGAGGAGGGAGAGTTTGTACGAAAGCTGTGTGAGGGGAGGGTTCATAGTAGCTGCAGAGACGAACGGGGCCACAGTAGCTGGAGCAGAAGGTGGGATGGGGTGTGTACGGTGTGCAGCTGCGGGCTGGGTAGGCGCTGGAGCAAGAGGCAGGTTCTTGGACCATGTTGAATGTCTTTCTCCACAGAGCAGTAGGAAGTGGTTTTGGCTAGACATAGATTTGGCTGAGAGTCACTGAGAAAATGATGATGGCGTAAAGAAATTAATTTTGTCTTTATTCTAAGAGCAGTAGGAAGCTGTGTTAGGATTAGGTTAGACAGAGAGTGACTGAAAACCCAAACAACAGAGGCGTGGTGAGTCCTTGATTACCAGGGCTGCGGGCACGGAGTTGTGCTGCCCTGCCATCCTGTCATGGCTTCCCCTGTGGCTCACAGCGGCTCCAGCGCTGAGCACTGTGCCCGTGTGCTGGTCAGTGGGGAGTGGCACACGTTCTTCCTGGAAGAGGCATGCACTGCTTCTTACAGCTGTCCTGCCGTTGGCCTCACCTAGGTGCAAAAGAGGTAGGAAAGGTGGTCTTTGCTTAGGATTCTATGTACCAGCTAATACTTGTTTTCTGTTATGGAGGAAGCAGGGAAAAATGGGTATTTGGGGATAGCGAGGCATCTCTGCTTTGGAAGTCATTGTAAATACACATTTTCAGAGGGCTTTTTTTTTGAGGCAGCGTTTCGCTATGTAGTGCAGGCTGGCATGTTGATCCTCCTGCCTCAGCCTCCAAGGTGCTGGGATTACAGGTGTGCACTGCCATGCCCGGCTCAGAGGACCTTTATGCAGAGAGAGAAACAGATGGTAGGGGGACAGAGTGACCGTTGGTTCACCATCTTGGAGGTTATTAAGTAAGTAATTCTTAGTGGAGGTTATGTGTCTCCTTCCCCTAGGCCATTTGCAGATGTGTGGAGGTGTTTTCGGTTGTCATGGGGAGGCAGAAAGATAGGGTCCTGAATACATTAGGATGCCCTGGTGTCCTCTTAGCAAAGAATTGCCATGCCGCCCAAGATGCTAGCATCATTTTTCCTATGAGAAAGATTGGCCTAGGCTGTGGTAGGGGAGGTACAGGGAAGTACATTGGTGAGGCCCCTGCTGGACTGGATATGCAGGCGAGGGAGATGGAGATAGCATTGACAGTCCCAGGTGTCTGGCCCCTCGGTTGGATAGGGACGTGCTTCACTGACATACAAAACCCAGGAAAAAGACTCTTTCTCAGGTGGAGAATGATTTAGGTGGTGGTTCTGGGTGTTAAACCCTGGATCTTGAACATGGGTCCCTGCTACTGAGCTGCATTCCCAGCCTGAGAATAATTTTTTTTTCTTTTTTTTAATAGGGGAAAAAGCTTATTTAGCTCACAGTTTGTAGAGGTTTCAGTCCATGATTGCTGACTCCAAGGCAGGGTGGCTTTGCAGAGGAGAGAATAATCTTTAGTTCTAAATCAGATATGCTTTTTGGCTCATGTAAGAACTACCATCTCCGTTAACAGCCACTCAATAACTTCCAAACCTGGTCAACTAATAGTTACTCTGTCCTGCACTGTGTTTTTGTTTTGTTTATTATTGGCCTTTTGAGACAGGGTCATGTTATGTACTTCAGGCTGGCCTTGAACTCATTAAGTAGCCCAGGCTGGCTTTGAACTTGCAGCGATCCTCTTGCCTCAGTCTCCTGAGTGCTGAGATTACAGGTGTGCGCTGCCACCACCAACTTCCCCGCCACTTGTTTTCCCACTTACTATAACACAGAGCTTAGAGGCGAGGTAGAGATTGGAGCCATAGTTGGAGTTCTGTACAGTGCTGATGGCTGTTGCTGAGATTGTCTGGAGCAGAGTATGAAATTAGAGGGCTGAGCCCAAGCCTGGAGGAGCGCCAACATTTGATGGCTGAGTATAAGAGAAAAACGCTGGAGAAGTAGGAGGAAAACCAGGAGTACATTGTGTTGCAGAGGCCAAGGGAAAGCAGTGTTTAGGAGGCAGTGCCTAATAGCATGAATGAGGGCGGGTTTTTTTGAGACGGGGCCTTGCTTTGTACTTCACCCTTGAACTCATTGTGTAGCGCAGGCTGGCCTCCTCCCTGAGAACCTCCTGGCTCAGCCTCCCAAGTGGTAGAATTACAGCCTGTGCTACCACGCCTGGCTGAATGAGAGCTCTTTAAGCAATAGAGATTGAAGATAAGACTTCTCAGATAACACAGATAGTAGTGCTAGAGAAACAATACAAGTTTTATACCATTGTATGTATTCATTTTACTAGGATGCCTAATGGGTATAGAAAGCAAAATCTTCTGTAGCTTAGTGTTCTTGAAAAAATTAAAAGCTAATGAGACAAAATTTCTAATAGAGCTAGTTTCTCATATAGTAGTCATTAAAAAACCTCTTTTCCACTGTCTGGTATAGCTGTCTTCCCAGAAGCTGGAGTATCATGGAGGATTGTTTGTCTCCCTGGTGAGGACACTCTCAGCATTTGCCTGGACTCCATGCCTAAGAGTAATAGGTGCTGATATGAAAACCAGGAGGCTGAGATTGCTCATTTCATTCAAATCTTGGAAATTCTTAGTTCATACTGATAATTTTTTTTTTGTAAGCGGTGACAAAGTTTATTTGAACAAGTAAAAGTGAAGAGTGAAGGAGAAGCTGGCTCTGCAGAGTGAGCTTGGGCCAAGAAAAAGAAAAAAGTGAGATAGCAGTATACCCGGGAAGACACAGGGTGGGTTATCATGAGGAAGGCTTATTAACCTGTATTGAGGTATTGGTGATCACAAGTGGGTAACATAGTAAGGTTTAGGGAGCCCTTGGTCTTTCCTTCAGAGCTTGGAGCCCTGTCTCTAATGTCTAATCATCATTTTCTAAATATTTTATATTGATTTGTTTCTCTTACTGTCAAATATGTATCTTTAATTTTACTTTTTTAGGAATGCTTAAGGTTTTTAAAAACAAAAGTGTGTTTAAATGTAGTAGTTATCACCAAGCTGAAGGCTTCAATTGCCTTTGATAATGGTGAGTAAATGGATGGTTGCATTGTTTAATCTTAATATTGGTTCTTTAGTTGTGATACTGGAGTACTGATATTTCATAAATATGTGTGATATTAAGAACATAGGAAATCGTTCAAATGGTTGGGCTTATGAGAATCCATGTACTGAATATTGTTGAGAGGCTATGATAGGCACATTGAATTCATTATGCCTTTTCTACTGCTTTACATGCTTGAACTTTTCCATAGTAAAAAAGTCGTAATAAGTGGGATTTTGAGAAAACCTAAAATTCAATAGAGCAAGGGTTCTGACACTTTTCAAATGTCTGCTCAAGATAAGAAACTGTCTACTGAAGGTGTGCAGCTTATCTTTCATTTACTTACAGTATTTCAAATTGTTCTCCTAAAATGTTTATGATACCTTTCATTAAAGGATTAAATTTATTTTTAGCATAAGTTGAGAAACTGAATTGTAAGTATTTTGAAGTGAATTAGTTCTGATCCTACAGCTTAGTTCAGGGTCATTCAGACTACTGCAGGGAAAGTATTCTGGGATGGTTTATAAATACGTGGGGGAGAGGCAGATCCCTTAATGATTACATTGAAAAATGACTTTTTAAAATCACTGAAACAGGTTCCATGGAGATCAGGAGTGTTATTACCAGGATGACCTACGAGTATTATCTAGTCTTACCAAAAAGGAACACATGAAAGGGAATGAAACCATGTTGGATTTTCGAACAAGTAAATTTGTTCTGCGTATTTCCCGTGACTCGTACCAACTCTTGAAGAGGCATCTTCAGGAGAAACAGAACAATCAGATTTGGAACATAGTTCAGGAGCACCTCTACATTGACATCTTTGATGGGATGCCGCGTAGTAAGCAGCAGATAGATGCGATGGTGGGAAGTTTGGCAGGAGAGGCTAAACGAGAGGCAAACAAGTCAAAGGTATGGGAACAAACCTAAGAACTGTGTAATGCAGACTCTGAAAAACTGTAGCATTTCCATCTACATAACTTATACATTTTTCTTGTAGCCAGCTTGGGAGTAATTTTACATTGTATTTAAAGTTTCACCTTCCAAAGGGTAATGTATGTTTGTGAGGATTTGGGAACAGTTGCACTTAACAGAACCCTGACTGCGGTGGCTCAACATGGAAGGGAGTTTTCCGCATGGGAAACGAATTCCAGAAGAAGGCCCATCAGGGCCGGCGCGACATCCTCACAGCGCCACCAGTGCCCCTGGCTCCTCCTAGGTTCCGGCCCACCATCTTTAGGATGTGGCGTTCTTCTCTGTGCTCCCAAGTGGCTGTTGCAGCTTCAGCACTGCAGCCATGCCAGGGAGAAAGCAGGGGAGGTCAGAAGCCTGTTGAGTCACTCCCTTTTTATCAGGAAGACAACTTTTGTTTTCTTGAAACCATCCTTGTTGGCTGGAATGATATTATACAGTCATTCCCAGCTGCAAGGGAGCCTGAGATTTACATGAGCACATTCCTGCTCCGTAAAATCAGGGTTCTGTTGTTAGTAAGGAAAAAGGGGAAAATGGCAATTGCGTAGACACGCAGAAGGCTGCTTCAGGGTGTATATTACCATACTGGGGTTACTTCGTTTTGTTTTTTGAGACAGGTTCTTACTATACAGTTTAGGCTGGCCTTAAACTCACTGTGTAGTCCCAGCTGGCCTCGAACACATGGTGATTGTCCTGCCTCAGCCTCCCAAGTGCTAGGATTGTAGGCGTGTGCCATCATGCCTGGCTAAGTTATTGTAACTGATTCATCCTGTGGAGGTGTGCAAAAAATGTGTTACTGACCAAAAATTAACTCAAAGCATGTTGGTTCTTTTTATCCCTAGGTATTTTTTGGTTTATTAAAAGAACCGGAAATTGAGGTACCTTTGGATGATGAGGATGAGGAGGGAGAAAATGAAGAAGGAAAACCTAAAAAGAAAAAGCCTAAAAAAGATAGTATTGGATCCAAAAGCAAAAAACAAGATCCTAATGCGCCACCTCAAAACAGGTGAGGGACCTCCTTTAAGAAATTGTGTGGGGGTGTAAGATTTGTCACAGAGGGTTTGGTCTGTTCATCTTTTTCTTCTTGTGAGACAGGCTGTCACTATACAGTTCAGGCTGGCCTTATACTTGCAGTGATCCTCCTGCCTCAGCTTCTCAAGTGCTGGGATTACAGGCGTGCACCACCACCCCTGGCTTTGTTAATATATCAGAATAATTTCCAGTTTGATTTTCTTTCACAGAATCCCTCTTCCTGAATTAAAAGATTCGGATAAGTTGGATAAGATAATGAACATGAAAGAAACCACCAAGCGAGTGCGCCTGGGGCCAGACTGCTTACCCTCGATTTGTTTCTACACATTCCTCAATGCTTACCAGGTTGGTACAATACTTGGTTCTTAGAGAGTTATGTAAAGTGGTGATTTACTGTTAGGAGAGAGCTAAACGTTAACTAAAACAGTTTTATTATTTGAATCCTTGATTTTTTTGATTTAGGGCCTCGCTATGTAGTTCAGGCTGGCCTTGAACTCACTACGTAGTCCAGGATGGTCCTGAACTTGTGATTCTCCTGCCTCAGCCTCACATGTACTGGGATTACAGGCATGTGCCATGGTGCCCAGCTCTTTATTTGTGCTTTTTATTTTTGTGATGTTGGGGCTTGAACCCTACGACTGAGCTATATCCCCAGCCCCTTTTATATTTGATAAGAAAAGGTCTCACTAAGTTGCCCAGGTTGGGCTTGAACTTATGATCCTCCTACTTCAGCCTCCGTCATAGCTAGGATTGTGTGCTTTACCACGGTGCCCTGTCCTGCCCTGCCCTGCTAAACTCTTGACACAGTTTAAGATAGGAAAGGAGAATTAGATGCTGCACTATAGGTAGCAGGTTTAGCAACTCGTAAGTACCAGAATCTTGCTTACAGTTTACCTTTATTTCATGTATCAGAATTCTGCCAGTGTTTGAGGGGGTGAACACTGGTTCATCTCCGTTGAACTTAAGTATTACTATAAACTTGATATTTTTAAGAATTCTACATGTCTTTGTAGACTCCTCCTAATATGCTACTAAGGATATAATTAGCAAACCTTTTTTTTTTTGCCTTTTTTTGAGACAGGGTCTCACTATGCAGTTTAAGCTGGCCTTGAACTCACTTTGTAGCCCAAGCTGGTCTTGAACTCACAATGATCCTCCTGCCTCAGCCTCCTGAGTGCTGGGATTACAGGTGTGCACTACCACACCTGGCCCATAATTAGCAAACATTATGCAAAAATAATTAGCATATGCTTCCTCTTATGCTCTCAAACATGGAGGACAAAAAACTGGGTGAATGATAACTTGCTCTTCAAATGTGAGCTTTTATTCTTTATTTAAAAATTTTTTTTGTCTGAGACAGGGTGTCACTGTGCAGTTCAAGCTGGCCTTGAGCTCACTTTGTAGCCCAGGCTATTCTCAAACTTGCCACGATTCTCCTGCCTCAGCCTCCCAAGTGCTGGGATTACAGGTGTGTGCCACCACGCCCAGCTCAAATGTGAGCTTTTAGACAGTGGGTTTTATAGGAGAGTAGAGTCCCCAGTGAGTTTTTATATGAGAAAACTTACCATCATTGTAAATTATCTTAAGATGTGATCATAATTCTTTTTTCTGAAAGGGTATTGTTTAGTATAAAACTTTTTTTATTGGCAGGGCCTCACTGCAGTGGATGTCACTGATGACTCTAGTCTGATTGCTGGAGGTTTTGCAGATTCAACGGTCAGAGTGTGGTCTGTGACCCCCAAAAAGCTTCGTAGTGTCAAACAGGCAGCAGGTAACTGAGATGTCCTTGGAGGGTGTGCACTTGGCTTGATCTACCCAGTTTCGGTTCCGTGGAGCAGTGGAGTATGCGAGGGAGGTTGTGCTATTGCAGGTGCTCCCCTGATTTCACGTTACCTTCCGATGCCAGGGAGCACACGAGTGGAAAGCAGCAGACCAGACAACTAGACTCTGTTTCCTCTGGTCCTCGGTCTTCTCTTCTGTGGGATGGAGGGATTAGGCCACAAAGCTCTGTAACGCTAAAATGGCAACATTTTTGTGAATCTTAAAAAAAGAAAACCATAAATAGTGGGAGACCTTAAGTAGTTGAATACTTGGGATTTTTGTTTGTTTGTTTTTTTGTACCGGGAATCAAACTCATGACCTTGCACTTGCCAGGGAGGTGCTGTGCCTGCTGAGCTACATCCCTGGCTTTTGTTTTACTCATAAAAATGCCTAAAAAAGAAGTAATGTCAAGGTTTCTTTTAAAGTTTTTGCTGACTATATTTTTAAATTTTTAATTTAAAAAAATTTTTTAAATTTTTAAAAAATTAAAAAAAAAACTTTAATGCTGACTATATTATCTAAACAAAATACTTCAAAATTTTAGTTTTTGTTGTTTCCAGTTTTCATTTTTGTGAAACATTGTGGTATGGTGACAGATTTAAATTTCAGTCCAATTATTGAGTAACTGGGCGCACTCCAGCACACTTTAACTGCTGACCCTTCGTCTCCTCTGCTACCTGAGACGGTGGCACCTACTTCAGCGGCATTAGCACTGTGGTTAGTGTACAGGAAGAAATGTTCTAATGTCAGTTGTTCTGAACCATGTTGTAATTGAAATGTTTTGATGACTGTACTTTAAAGAAATTATTTTTGGACCATTTTAGATCTTAGCCTCATAGACAAAGAATCAGATGATGTCTTAGAAAGAATCATGGATGAGAAAACTGCAAGTGAGTTGAAGATTTTGTATGGTCACAGTGGGCCTGTCTATGGAGCCAGCTTCAGTCCCGATAGGTAAAATAGAAACAATAGAAATTAAATACTGCTGTACTACATTGAGATTATGTAAACCTTAACTATGGGACACACAATGCAAATGCCTGGAAAATTCCACTGGGAAAATCTCATGGTTGCCTATTCATCTTTTTTGTTTTGGTCTTTTTGAGAGAGGGTCTCTCTATGCAGTTCAGGCTGGTCTTGAACTGACTTTGTAGCCCAGGCAAACTTGCAACGATCTTTCTGCCTCAGCCTCCGGAGTGCTGAGATTATAGGCGTGTGCCACCATGCCTAGCTCTGCCTATTCATCTTTTAGAATTCTACCATGTATTAATTCATCTTAGGGTACTGGTATACGGGATAACAGTATATGTCTGAACTTAGAGAATCAAAATGCATAGTTCAGGGCTCACTGGTTTTCAAAAATTAGCTCTATTCTTTTATAACCCTGATAGGATTTGAATTGAGTCTCTACGTTGTATTTTGTGGCACTTTATCATGTTTAAGATAAATTTCTGATATTAATCGCATAATGCCTATCAATTGAAGCTTTATTAAAAAACAAAAACAAAACAGACTAAGAAAGCTGGGTGTGCTGGCATGTGGTTATCATCCCAGCTACTCAGGAAGCTGAGGTGGGGGGATCATGAATTTTAGGCTAGCTTGGGCCACATGGCAAGATGCCATTTCAGAAACAGAAAACCTTAACAATACACTAAACAGGAGATTTGAAATGATTGTATTTTAGACTTTGCTTTAGCCGTAGGATTCCAGAGTATCACTGTGCATGTTTAGGTGTTTGCCTGTTTGTGATCTCCAGCATTTTGTAGAAATGGGGGTTGAATATTCTGTCTTCACAATTCCATCTGTGTCTTATTTGGATAGATAATAGCTTCCAACCCATCAAGGTTTTTATTTTCATGAAACTTTAAAAAAAATTTATTTTTTTTATGTTTGTTTGTGTAGAGACAGGGTCTCACTACACAGTTCAGCCTGGCCTGGAGCTGACTCTCTAGTCTGGCCTCGAACTCATGGCAGTCCTCCTGCCTCAGTCTCCTGACAGGCATCTACCACCATGCCTGGCTCTGTTTATGAAACTTTTGAGAATGTTTATTGTCTGATAGGATGACTAAGCCCGTTTTTTTACTTGAGGGAAGCCTTTGATTTCAGTGAAAACTGTCGCTTTTGTATTCATCTCTTGAAAAGGTATTTGCCTGATACAGCTTTGGTCCCCGCCCCCCCTGCACAAATCCATTTTCTTTTTACCTCTTTATTTGGTGGAGAGTTCTGGGAATGGTACTCGGGGCCTCAAGCGCATGCTAACCATGTGCTCCACTACTGACTTACACTCCCTGCCCCCTCCCCTTTATATAGCTCACGCAGGATGGGAAAATAGCATCTCTCCATTTGAGAGCCAAAAATTGTTGAGTGACATACCACATTTCTTAACTTTCTCAATTTACCTTATTTGAACATAGTTTTCATTTCCCATGATAGTTTTTTCCCCTCTAAAGAACTGATTTTCTCCCCTAAGAGACCTAAGTTTTTATAACCCAACCTCAGTAGTTATTTAGCGTATGTCGAGCTGGGGCTAACATTTGGTTTTACTAGTTTCGGGTAGAACTTCTGGCTCTTTATGTCTACTCTACATTCCATGTATAAAAGTGACATGAAGCTGGAAGTAGTGGCACACACCTGTAATCCCAGCACTTGTGAGACTGAAGCAGGAGGATTGCCACCATTTTGAGGCCAGCCTGCGCTATGTAATGAGTTCAGGGCCAGTCTGAACTACATGGTAAAGACTCTGTCTCAAAAAAAAAGTGACATGTAATATCTAATTAGCTAATGTAATATGTTCACATGTGAGGAGAAACTGGACAGGTAACCAGGTTATTTGAAGATATCACCTTTTCTTCTTTCAGGAACTATCTACTTTCCTCTTCAGAGGATGGAACTGTTAGATTGTGGAGCCTTCAAACATTTACATGCTTGGTAGGATATAAAGGACACAACTACCCGGTATGGGACACACAGTTTTCTCCATATGGATATTACTTTGTGTCCGGAGGCCATGACCGAGTAGCTCGGTAAGACCGCCATGCTCTCAGGACTGGGTCTCTTCAGTGAACAGAATGGTTTCTTGCTGGGAATTACAGACTCCAACTCAACTCATTTTCACTTCCATTATTTAGGATCAATTCTTTGAGAATACCAGCATTTGTATTTATAGCTCTTACTGACAGTGAACTTGGGACAGGGTGTTACTGTAGCTGTAATTTTCTCTACACTAGGAATCTTGCTTTTAAATTAGCTTATATATGCTCCACCCCAATCCGATGTTTAGCTGGGGATATAGCTCCGTGGCGTAAGCGCCTGCCTGGCAAACACAAGGTCCTGAGTTTGATTCCCGGTACAAAAAAAAAAAACAGCAACAATCTGATGTTTATTCTTATGTTTCAGTAGCACTGTATCTTTGTTTTCATTATCTTAAAAGTTCTGGATGAGGTAGCTCAGGTTAGAAACTAGTTATGTGTTGGTAGTATTAGGGGAAAACTTTTTTTATGGTTTAGATTAGGAATGGGGAAAAAGAAAAAATATAGTATTATTCACAAAATTATGTACCAAGCCTGGTGTGGTGCTGCATGACTGTTGTCATACCAGCATTTGGGAGGCTGAGGCAGGAGGATCACAGTGAGTTCAAGGCTAGCCTGGACTATACAGTAAGTTCAAGGCCAGCCTGAATTAATTAGAAAGACCCTGTCTCAAAAATCTTTTTAAAAAACACCACCGTATGAACCTATTGCTCCTCCTATATCAAGAACAACTCTCACTCCCTAATCATGTACCACATCAACTCTTTCAAGAATATTAGTCACCATCATTCTATCTTCTTGCCCTCAGTCACCTTTCAAGGGGGACCCATGTGGAAAATTTCACCTGGGTGTTTCTAGTTATTTTGGGTAGAATTTTGGCATTTTATGGTTAACTACTAATGACCATCTTTTGATTTTCATAACATTAAAAAAAGGCTCTGGGCTACAGATCATTATCAGCCTTTAAGGATATTTGCTGGCCATCTTGCTGACGTGAATTGTACCAGATTCCATCCAAACTCGAATTACGTTGCCACGGGCTCTGCAGACAGAACGGTGCGGCTCTGGGATGTTCTCAATGGTAACTGTGTAAGGATCTTCACTGGACACAAGGTATTCTACATCTGACTACTGCAGCGTGTAAAGATGCTTTCGAGATAAAAATACTCTGAAACTATGCAGTGGCACAAGTAGTTTTAAGATAACGTATCACCGAAGTTCTAACTTTGTCTGACTTATACTTAACACTACTCTTGATGTTTTTCATGGACTTTTCTAGGGACCAATTCATTCCTTGACATTTTCTCCCAATGGGAGATTCCTGGCCACAGGAGCAACAGACGGCAGAGTACTCCTTTGGGATATTGGACATGGTTTGATGGTTGGAGAACTAAAAGGCCACACTGATACAGTCTGTTCACTTAGGTTTAGTAGAGATGGTGAAATTTTGGCATCAGGTAAATGATTATTAATGGCTTTGTGGTAAAGATTTAGGTTTTTCATCCAAAATTTACAGTAAACTCATGAAGTATAATGATAGTGTCGGAATCTAAATACGATGGATGTCACTAGTGGTTTCCTTTGGTTTCCCCTTAGGGTCAATGGATAACACGGTCCGGTTGTGGGATGCCATCAAAGCATTTGAAGATTTAGAGACTGATGACTTTACCACAGCCACTGGGCATATAAATTTACCCGAGAACTCACAGGAGCTGTTGTTGGGTACATACATGACCAAGTCAACGCCGGTGGTACACCTGCATTTTACTCGAAGAAACCTGGTTCTAGCTGCAGGAGCTTACAGTCCACAATAAACCATCGGTATTAAAAGACCTTTTGGAAGCTACTGTTAGAAAAAGGGAGTCTAAAAAGCAAATACCTCAGTGATTAATATTTAAGCTACAAAGAATGTTTTTGTCTATATGAATCTGGAAGTATGCTGCTTGGAAGATCTGAACAGGACAGCTCCACGTTTCTATAGCAACCACATTTAACTAATTTCCGTTAGTTGAATAAGAGGTATTATGTTCGTGGAGGGGACATTTATGGTGCTTTGGATTGTGTGGAAACTATGCATTTTCTGTTCAAATACTATTTTAATTTATTATGTTTAGAAAAAAATTGATTTAAAAATTCATCGTGCTTCAAGATTCAAATTAAGAAATATAATACCATCTTGAATTTTAGCTGAAGATTCTATGAGCATGTATGTTTCTGCTGTAAAAAGTGAAGTTACTGTACGGCACTCAAGTACTATGTTAAATGATCCACTAACATTTTTTCTTGGCCTCTGATTAGTGGACTGTATGTAACTAGGTAGGGTGAACTACACTTCCTAAGATTTAGGTGAAGTACAACTATCCACTAAAACTTACACCTGTTTGAGTGCACTCAGACACTAAACCGGTGAAGAAGCTCAGCTTCCATGTTCCACTTCAGCTAAAATGGCTACAGAAAACCTAGAACACTTGAAGTCAGACAGACATTTCAGTTGCTTACCTCCAGTACTGAGCCTTGCTTTGGAAAACTAAAAAGATTTAGACCAAGTCACTGCCAATTTTTGCCTTTGTTGCATTTTGTACAGTTTTTATATTTTTGATACCTTGTAAATAAAGACAACCAGCTTTTCCAGGTTCATAATTTATTGTACAAATTGAGTATTACATGATGAGTTGACATTAGCTCTTCCATGCATGGGACTTAACAGATGAAGACACACTGTAAAATCCTATAAAGAAAGCAAAAACAGTTTTGACACAAACGTGTCTGTTCAGTTCTACTTGTAAGACATTTAGTAATTATGAGGACAGGACTACTCTAAAGAAATTCAATATAAATCCATCAGATTTTCAGAGGAGTCAGTAAGGCCCAAAGAATGAAGGTGTCTCGCTACCACTCGGGTACATCCTCAGGCCCAAACACTCCACCTTTAACAAAAGAGCTGCCAGTAATTCACTAAAATTCTGAAGACAAACTGCTGTAAGAATCTAGTATATAAAGTAATATTTTAAATAACAGAAAATAGATATGCATCTTAATATGAGATACAGTTTAACTGGATACTACCACCCTCCCAGTTAGGAGTTATATTGTATGGGAGATTAGCCAAAAAAACAAAAGAATAAACCACAGGCTACTGCATTGGAATATGCAGTTTCTTAAGGGCAGTACTTCTGAGATTGGAAAAGCTCTTAAGAGAAGAGCTATGAAGGAGAGTTACATTATGATGAAAATCTATGAAGGAGAGTTACATTAGATGAAAATCTGGATTTTGGCTTCATGCATATTATCTTCATGCATATTCTATCTATGAAGGAGAGTTACATTAGATGAAAATCTGGATTTTGGCTTCGTGCATATTATCTGTGGCTAACCATCAGACGTTCACTTGAGGATGGGGTTGAGGGTAATGTAAGATGAAAACGGGAGCTCAGAAAAGACAACTGACTACATGAAAATAGGAAACCAGTAAACGAACTACCAAAAGACAACAAATAACAAGTTTAATCTGGGCTGGAAGTGTAGCTCAGTGGCAGAGCACTTCTCTAGTATGCACAATGCCCTGGGTTTGATCCCTAACGCCGTAAAAAGCAAAGAAAAATTAATTATTACATGAAGAGCTTGTACAAGTCACCTAGTTGTTAAGGACAGGAATAGAATGTTATGAAAAATACAAATAGAAGAAAAAGCGAGAGACACACCCACCCCAGTACAGGGAGCCTAGAGGTACATCCCCGGTTCTTCATTTTAGGACAGTGTCTCGCTAAGTTGTCCAGGCTGGTCTTGGATGTGTCATCCTCTTCCTTCAGCCTCCCCAGTAGCTGGGATTACAGGCACACAACGCAGTGTACAACTGACACAGTGTTTCCTCATCTAATTAGCAAAACCAGAAACTGACAGTAACCCACAACTGCTAAAGTGAAAGACACACCCTCTTACACAGCTGTGTGCCTTGTGATCCATTCATAGATGCAATGCTTCAGGTTCAAAGCATTCACTGATAAATTATTTAAAAAGAAAATACTTTTTTGGGTCTTTTTGAGATAGGGTTTCACTATGTAATTTAGGCTGGCCTTGAACTCACTTTGTAACCCAGGCTGGTCTTGAACACAGCAATTCTTCTGCCTCAGCCTCCCAAGTGTATGGTGTATGCATTACAGGCATACACCACCATGCTCGGCACTCTTTTTAAAAAATTACAATGAGACATTTCCTCTGTGAAATATGTGTATGAACATTTATGCAATCAAATCATGAAAAAGTACTTTTTATTTTCTGTATGCAATAAATTCTGCAGTTTACTTTTATAGTAATACAAAAATAGCTGAGTTATAATTTTTTCCTTTTTTAACCAATACTGGGAATTGAGCCCAGGGCCTTGAGCATGTTACACAGATGTTCTACCACTGAGCTACATCTCCGGCTCTTTTTAAAATTTTATCTGGGGACAGGGTCTCACTAAGTTGGCCAGGCTGGTCACAAACTTGTGATCCTCCTGCTTCAGGGTTGGGAACAGCTGGGATTCCAGGCATGCACCACCACACCCAGCCAGCTACAGAGTTTTAAATGCTATGCTCTTACCACTTATGTTGCTTTCACAGCTGGTGTTTTTTTAGACCTTAACTTGAAGTACAAGACTATCAGAGCAATGCCTCCATATGTGGCCAGTACACACTGAAAAAGAAACATGTAAACAAGCGTTACTGCCATGTTTGCATTACTCTAAAATATAACTGCTTAAAGGTATCATCAATACTTACATTCATTCTACCCGTCAGAGTGTAAGAGTTGAAATATTTTTTGATGCCAGTGAACTGGAACTGGGCATCGTTTTCTGGACCTGCCATGATTTCAATCTTTTAAAAAAAAGAAAGAATAATAAATTGGTTTGGATGTAATTCAAAAGAAAAAAAATTGTTTTAGTTTTAATGCTAAAAGTCATTGTGTATAATTCGTGTAAAATTTTTATCCATGTTTTGCCCGATGGAAGCAAAGATGATGGAAAAGGTCTAGGAAAGTTTCTCAAAGTAGAACTTTAACTTGACTACTAGTTCATAAACACTCCAGGATATGTCACATCACTTAACATAGAAAACACACAAGCATTCATTAAGTCCACCCTCTGACTCAGTATAGTTCAGTGTTTTTATTTCTGGCTCTATCTACACTGGTACACTGAATGAATTTTTCTTAAAGTTCTGAAACTTGGACTTAAAAATTGTTTTTATTAGTGCATGCCTGCAGTACCTATTACATTCATCATGGGGAACTGGTACATGTACATTACACATCTTAATTCTTTTTACGTCCCCTCCAGCTCTTGGTCCCTTTTCCATTTACAAAAGCTCAATTCTGTTTCTATTGTCCATTTTTTATTTTGTGCTTTATACTTTGGGTTTCTGGGTTGTGTTTTGTTTTGTTTTGTCTTTTTGAGACAGGGTCTCACTATGCAGTTCAGGTTCACCACGAACTCACTATGTAGCTGAGTGAGCCTTGTACTGACAGCAATCCCCCTGCCTCAGCCTCCTGAGTGCCGGGATTACAGGAGTGTGCCACCACGCCTGGTCAATTAACCAGTTTTAAAACTAGCAGCTTGGGATATTTTTCAAACTTTTTCAAAGGGGTGACTGTTAACTACACAGCATAACTTACAACCCCTACTTTTATAGTTTTTCTTATAAATTACAACTTCCACGGGAGCGGGAAGGGATCATTTACTAAGCAGAGTTGAAGTACTAGCCATTGTTGGATGGGGAAGCTGGATTCCTTGCTCCTTACACCAAAATAAGATGTTAATGTAATCAACGAAACCAAAAAGTTCTGAAAGAATACATGGGAAAATATTTTAATCATCTTGGCAAAGAATACCAGGAACAAAAAAGGCAAAACGTAAGACAATGAACCTTTCAAAGAAATGTAAAGAGAGACTAGTATTTACCCACCAAACCGGCACAGATAAAACTGTGAGAAGCAGTGTTAAATAAGAACATGGAACTCAGCATCTTGTTATTTGGAGTATAAACTGACACAACCTTCCTAAAGTACAATTTGGAATATCTATCAAATTTTATAATGAATATATCTTTCCATCTAGTTGGTTCATTTCTTCTCCCAAGAATTCACAGGAATATCTATCAAATTTTATAATGAATGTATCTTTCCATCTAGTTGGTTCATTTCTTCTCCCAAGAATTCACAGGAATATCTATCAAATTTTATAATGAATGTATCTTTCCATCTAGTTGGTCCATTTCTTCTCCAAGAATTCACCCTCATAAAGTGTAAATTATGTGGCTCAAGAATAGTCACTGAAATGCTTTGAGACAGGGTACTGCTATGCAGTTCAGGCTAGCTTTGAACTCACTATATAGCCCGGGCTGACCTCAAAACTCGGAGTGATCTTCCTGTCTCAGCCTCCAGAATGCTGGGCTTATCAGCATGAGCCACTATGTCCAGCTTTTGCCTGTTTATCAAAGTAAAAAACCGGAAAAACTGAAAGTCTACCTAACCAAGACTGGTAAATAATGGTTTTCATTAGCAGAAATACAATGTACATAGATCTTTCATGTACTGACATGTAAAGAGGACCCTAAGTAATGTTAAATAATAAAAAAATCACCAGGCATGGTAGCACATGCCTGTAATCCTAGGACTCAAGAGGCTGAGGCAGGAGTATTACCATGAGTTTGAGGCCAGTCTGGGTTATAAAGTTAGTTCAAAGCCAGCCTGAGCTATGTAACAAGATCCTGTCTCAATCAAAACCAAACAAAACCAAACAACAAAAAACCTCAAAATAATAACAAAATCGTATTTCTGGATAATACAGTGCACATTAATGATTCTCAAATCTGCTTCCTAGACCAGCAGCATCAACACTGCTGGCAACTTAGTACAAATGGAAATTTTCAGGTCCTATCATACGTCTACTGAATTAACAACTCTGGGGCCTAGCAATGTTTTAAGAAGGCCTGTAGATTATTCTAACACATACTAAAGTTCTGGAGAATATATAGCAAACTTTTTTTTTCCCTTTTTTTACCAGGAATTGAACTCACGAACTTGCGCTTGCCAAGCAGGCACTTGTGCTGCTGAGCTATATCCCCAACCCTTATAGCAAACTTTGAAGAGGGATCAGGTCTACAGTTCCTGTGTAATTTACAAAGGCATGTATTTCTTTTATCACAGGAAAGAGAGACATTCAAAAGGTCACCACAGAAGAACAGCGACCAGAGCCAGGCAAAGTCGATTGGTGACACAGACGAGAAGGTAGAGGGTTGGTCGAGACTGGCAGGCAGCAGCACTGACTCTGCTGGCTCTTGATAGAAGAGGGAGAGCTCTGTGAGGGAGGTGTTGCTATGGAAACTAGCTCTCCTTTGTTTAGCATTCTAAGGCCTTTAGAGGAATTTACATGCCAAGAATTGGCAAGGACAATTTAAGATTTTAATTTTGAGCAATTTTTCAGGCACGTTCTTGGTGAGAGAAATCTAAATCTCCTTAGGTCACTTCATAACCTTGGTCAGTCTAGCTAAAGTTGCAAAATCTCCACTTGAAGAAATCTTTATGATGTAATTTATTATTATTTTTGTCGTTTTGAGACAGGGTCTCACTATGCAGTTCAGGCTGGCCTCGAACTCACTTTGTTGCCCAGGCTGACCTCCAACTCACAGCGATCCTCCTGCCTCAGCCTCCAGAGTGCTGGGATTACAGGTGTGCGCCACCATTCCCAGCCCATGATGCAGTTTTAACACCAACTCTCATTTTGCTACATCTACTAAAGGCATACTTGCCCCATTCATTACGTGATGCATTTCTTTCTTTGTCTTTTTGAGACAGGGTCTCGCTATGCAGCCCAGGCTGGCCTTGAGCTCACTTTGAAGCCCAGGCTGGTCTCAAACTTGCAACGATCCTCCTGCCTCAGCCTCCCGAGTGCTGGGATTACAGGCATGCGCCACCACGCCTGGCCCGTCATGCATTTTTAAATTGCAGTATGAAGTGCGTTCTCACAAAAAAAATACTCCAGAAACAAGTGCTTAACTGTGTCAGCTTGTTAACTGACAATTCCCATGCAACGTGCCTAGCAAAAAAATTTTTTAGGAGATGTGGCGTCCAAGTGAGACATTAAGGTGCTTTAAAGTTCATTCTACACACGGAGTAAGACAGATGTTTGTGGTATTCCAAAGAAGACTAATTCTGACTGCAGGAAAAGGCAGGCACAGGGACTGACAGTGTTGATCTTAAAAGGAAAAGGTTAGACGAGAGGCTGAGATGGAGGGAGACGGGCGGTGCTGCGGGCGAGATAACGCGAGTAAGCCCCCAAAGACCTACCTGCAACCTTTGGCAGAAGGCAGGTTACTGTAGGCCAGAGATCAGGAAGCCTTGTTTTGGGGTGCCCTTTGTGGAATAACTGAACGAGCACTTGCTTCCCTGTAAGTCACAGGTTTTTCTAAACACACTAACGAAGGAGAAAATCCCCTTGTGAACTTGCGTTTTAATGTGAAATGGCAACCTGCGGCAAAGTCTAAGCACACGGGGCATCCGCCTGTGCTTCCAACGCAGGCGCTGGCCGCTACGAAAACAGAACCCTTCGCGCTTCTCTCTGCCTGAAAACGAGCCTTCCGTTAAAGACCGAAGCGACGGCTGCCCTGGGGGGCTCTGCTCCTCGGCCCCGCCTCTCCAAGCGGCTGTGCCGTCAGGTCGGGGTGGCAGCGGGCTCGGGCGCGGCGCTCGGGGGGCACAAGCAGCCTCCTGCGCTTCCTCTGGAGCCTGCGGCCGACCCTGCTGGCTGAAACCCAAGCCCGGCGCGGGGCCTGGGCGCTGCGGCGCCCCCCGCTCACGCCC